TTATCATTTCTTGAATTTAGAGGGTGATCGTCAGCTTGTTTGGAAAGATGGAAAAAGTGAGCATATTTTATTACCATGAAACACACGTATTGGGAACATTTGAAATGTGCCAAGAAATGGTTTCATTATAAATACAATGCTAGGTATTGTAGAGCATTTGAATGTCAGCAGAATTCTTAGTTTCCCTTTTTAGAAGGTAACCTACAGGTCTTTAAGATGAAGTTGGCAGCAGACAAATCAGTGGACTTAAGAATAAAACTAGCTCTTTTTGTATTCCCAACAATCCCTGTTAACTCCAATAATATATTAATGTAGGGCCCCCTGGTTTGTTTGAAGGATTCAAGTACTCCCAATTCACTTCTCCCTCTTCTCACCACACCGTATTTGGTGATTTTCTCTCCTATTGCTCTTACAGTGGCTGGTTGAGTGATTTTTGTTATTAGGCTGCTGTCTTCTGATATTAGTTGGTTGCCCCATAAATGCAGTCAGTTTATTGAAATGTTTTTGAATAAAAGCCTCAAAAGACTTTTAAGAAAGTCACACTGTTGTCTATTGCTGTTAAATAGTTAAAAAAAAAAATTAGAGTCTATGCCAGGGCCGGGGGTGCTTAGATCTGGCCTGCGGGGGGGCCCTGGAAATAGCGAAGGACTGGCCCACGGTGCCTCTGCCAGGGAAAACAGAGCTCTCCTTTTTACTAGCAAAGGGTTGTAGGAGGCTGTCCCAGCCGAAAACGGAGCTCACAAAGGCCACACATGCCCCCCTGAGCTCCATTTTCACTGGCAGAGGATTGTAGGAGGCCATTACAGCTGAAAACAAAGCTAGGGAGCCCATTTTTGCTGGCACAGCAATCGGGCCACGACAGGTGTCCACCCAACACAAGTGACATCATGCTGGCCACACCCAACCTTGCCACACCCATCCTGGCCCCCCAAGGTCAAACACAACTTGATGCGGCCCTCAATGAAATTGAGTTTGACTCCCCTGGTCTATGTTGTTAAAAGGCATTGTTTTGATATAAAGTGTGTGGCACTTTTTTGTGGAATATTGTGCCAACAACATAATATTTAACTTTAAAAAAAATCAAAATACCATGACAAATGCAAGTTGGTTTATCTGCAGTTGGCGAATTTTTCATAGTACATTGCTTTAAAATTTGAGGTTTGTTTTATTCATGGATAGACATATGTGAGTAAATATGGTACATTAATTTGTGGTTTAGTGCGAGTGAGAACACAAATATGAATAAACTATAGTTGGTGTAACTGTATTTGGTATGCATTGCAATGTTGACTTAGCATGGTTTGTGAATACACATGTTTTGAAGTGGTTTCCTTGCTTATTTCTGGTTAGATTTTTGTCTCTAATTACATACCTACAAAGCAAGCGTAGGGGTTTTTTTTTTTAAGAAAAGGAATTGATAAGCAAACTGCCTATTTGCTCATATATTAGACTGATTCTGGCTAATTTGACAAACCATGGTACAACTTGGGATTTATATGTGTCCCAAAACTTTTTGGAAGTTTTCACCAGTGGTTCAATACTATGGAGATTCTCAGTCATCCAGATCATGGTTGCCCCAAAGGAGCTTTTTCAACTTTTCTTTGAAGACATTTTGCTTCTCATTCAAGAAGCTTCTTCAGTTCTGAAGTTCTGAACTGAAGAAAGTTCTTGGATGAGAAGCAAAATGTCTTCAAGGAAAAAAAAAAGTCTAGTTGCCTTTTGAAAAAGCACCTTTGGGACAGTACTATATGTGGTATCCCAGTATTTTGGTGGCACGGTGGTTAGAATGTAGTACTGCAGGCTAATTCTGCTGACTGCCAGCAGTTTGATTCTCACTGGCTCAAGATTGACTGAGCCTTCCAAGGTCAGTAAAATGAAGACCCAGATTGTGGGGGAAATATGCTGATTCTGTAAACCGCTTAGAGGGAGCTGAAAAGCACTATGAAGAAGTAACTTATAGTTGTATATAAGTAAGTGCTATTGCTATTGGTATTTTTATTAAGTGGTAACGATTGAATTCTTAAAGGTATATTGTTTTCACATCAGGGTAGTTTGATGAAAATTTGGCAAATATAAGCTTAAATGTCATTTTTCTATTCTTCTAGAAAAATTATGAATCTAAAAACTAGAGTATCATAGAGTAAGAATGTGAGACAAACGCTTTTTGTTAAGTCTGAAAATGTGTAGCAAACACGTTTATTACAGGAATGCATAGCCAACTGAAAAAAAAAACCAGAATTTCCCTTAAAAGAGCATACTTTGGGCATTCTTCAAGTAATTTTTAAAAGATCTATAACTTTTTCTTCAGGCAAAAATAGTCTTTGTAAAGTCCACACCCTGAACTTTAATGACTTGTTTTCCTTATCTCTTTGAACCATGTGGAACTGAATTAGAAGGTTGTACAAAACCAATGCTACTAAGCTGTCCACAAAATGCTACGGTGGAGGCAGACTTGTTTAACATGTCAGTTTTTATATAGAAGCCTGTAATCCAATGTTTTTACAAAGAACCCTATAATCTAATATAATGTTCCATGTGGCAGACTTTGAAATCTATAGGTAGCCATTTGTATTGCAAAATTTTCCAATTGTGGTGACCTTTTGAAGAACAAGTTTATTTTTGATTGCTTGATTTTCACATTCTCCTTATGGAATGGGTACTAAAAGCTACCTATCTAGCATGTAATCCAATCTTTTTGGGGGGTGGGGGGATGTCTCAGGCTTGGTTCAAATATTATCAGAAGCAGATGAAGCCATTACTAAAAACTGAAGTTGCTTCAGTTTAATGTGTTAGTCCTTTGGTTAATATGGTCAATCCTTATTAATTGATTTTGTCATGTTAAAAATGTGCTTTCTGGCAACCCTTGAAAGGGCTTGGGGGCAAAATTCATGACTTGAGGTTGGGTACATATCATACATCTTTATTAGCTGCTTAATTTGAAATTTACCATTTTAAAAATGATCCTACATTAAGAAACATAGTAATTTCCACTGTTGATGTACTGATATTTTATATCTCTTGAGAGGAAAGAAAAAAATGAAAATGTTATAGATGGACAAATAGATCTTCTGTAAGCTGCATTTCCATTACTTTTGACCTGGGAGGGTGGAGTTGGGAGGACTAGCCTTGTTAAAGCTATTCAAGGCATCTGAGGTCGCATTGAATTTTGTAACCTGTAAAATTCGGGCCTGATGTGGTCTGGCGAGCTGGCATATTTCATTGAGCTATTTATATTGACTTGGAATTGTATCAGTCAATTTACAACCAAATCCTCTGGCAAAATGTTCATCATATTTATAGTTTATTTCTTGGAGGTTTGGAGTTGGATAATAAAAAAGACTTGAAGAAGAAGATGATAAAAGAAAATGGAAAATTAAGAGGGGGAAGTAAATCTTCAGATGTCAACTCAGACCTTTAAAATGACAATGCTGATTAATTTTATGTATTTATTTAACTGACAAATCTGTATGCCACCCAATTCCCAATAACTTTTAGGAATTGGAGATTGTGTTTACTTAAGCAGGTTTAATCTCTGATGTATTTCTAAATCATGAAATCTGCACAAACATGAGAGAAGGATTGGCAGGGCTAGGGGGAGGGGTTAAAAGAGTTTAGGATCTGTTTAGGATTGTTACATAGTCATAAGCAAACAAAGTTCAACTCCCTTGAATGTTGTTTAGCCTTATCTAGTTTTAACCATGTGGTAACTGTTAGTTGATTTCTGTGTATAGATTTTAACAATGTCAGTAAACTTGAACTTCTGTGTGTGAATCTATTTTTTCTCACCTGGCAACAACACATGCCTTTAGATTACTTCAGTTGACCAGTAGCATTTATGTACTGGGCTTACTTGCATGAGTTGGTTGATACCGAGTGAATTTTCTTGCCTTGTATCATGTTTCATAGATTTGTTTTTCCAGCATAATGTGCACATAGTTGAACACTCGCACAGTGAAGAGAGAAAAAATACTACAATATTATATTGCTGTTTACTTTGATACTTCTAAACATTCCTTTGTTTAGGACATTGAATCTGATCATTCTACAAGTTCTTTTGGGAGAAAGGTCTTTTTCAGCCTCACTTTCTTATATTCTTAACTGACTGATAGTGCTGAAAATTGGACTTCCATATGCCTTCATCTGTAATCTAACATACTTATTGTTCCCATATCTTTGCTCAGAAACTGGAAATATTCTGATAGTTTCCAAAAATGGCTTGGTTTGTGTTATTTCCATCAAAAGTTGGGCTCTAATTTCAAGGTATAATTCTGCTTTCCATAGTCTGGGTGGGATTGCAAAATGCTGAAACTTTTTCTGCACCAGTATGTTCCTAGCATCTCTGTTGAGTCTTAAGAATCAGCCTCTTTATGTATCTCCAAATGTAACACTGTTAGAACAAGGATTAAAAAATTGTAGAACTTTGTCACGTTCCTGCATTCTGGGTTTTTTCTTTACTTCATCTGATTCTCTGTATTTTACTTCCTCCACTGGTTGGTGAAGGTCATTTACACAGTTAATATAAAAGTATAAGGGGAGGGGATTATGGCGTTGAATAAGGCGTTGCACCAAGACTGGAAGTTTTATCACAAGAATCTACTTGTTCTTTGCTTGCGATTGCAAATAGCGGAGGTGGCTGAAAAAGTTCTTGCTTATAGGATTGCTCCATAGAGGAAAGGATGAGTTGGGCGGACAGGCGACCTAGTTAGAACTTATTTGGTGTCTGGCGTGGCTTTTTCGTCGGAATGGCGCAAGCACAGGTTGGTTTTTGCTTTCTCACATCGCATCCCCCTTCTTTCTTTGCAGGCGTTCTAGGCATGCGTTGCAGAACATTCAGCTTTTTTATCTTTCGCGTGCATAAAAGGTCCGCCGGACAAACTTCGGGGCAATTTCTGATTCCGCGGTGGTCTCGAGATGCGCAGAGGCAGAGAGGGAGGGCAGCGCTAATGGATGCTCTTTCTCAGTCGCGATCTCCTCTTTTGATCTGTGACCACGAGCCGTTCCTATTGGCCGTTTCCCTTGTGACGTCTGGGGACTGCGGTTGTCCTATGTATCAAGCGCCGGGCTTAGTTTCCGTATCTTAAAGAGAGCCCGGAGATCGCTGGGTTTCTTGTATGCTGCAAGGAGAGGCAGAAGCCAAGAAGAGCCGGGCCTGCCTTCTCGTCAGCCCCGCTCCGCTCCGGTCACCGGGGATGGGGACAGCTCTCCGCTAGACTCGCTGTCAAACTGGACGGGGAAAGGGGAAAGCTGTTCCCACCGGCCGAAGTCAGAACCATGCTGTGACCAAAGTTGGAGTCTGAAGCGAAAGTAGCCCCCTCACTCCCTTTTACAAGCGGGATCCGATCTAAAAGAACACGTGAGTCTGCCGCACATTGGAGGAGGAGGGGGAGACTTCAGACTTTCCCAAGGGCAACGGGGACACCGTAGTCTGGATGGTCCCCTGTGCAAGCGGCTGCTGGAAAGGTGGCAGAGAGCGGCAAGAGAAGATTGCTAGCAGTTGACAGAAGCGGAAGGGGAGAGCAAGCTTTCCTAGTAGTTTTTATTACTACTGGGGGTTATGGTGGTCTAATCAGTAACTTAGTTCGTGGAGTAGATGTAGGGTTTTTCCATCTCGATTTTTCATCGCATTTTGGGGGAGGGGTAAAGGATTGGTAACGATTAGTGGGAAACAAGTGCAGAATTTAATGTTGACTTTAGGTGTCATAATCGTTTAGCCTAAACTGGTCCAGTCATGTGTTGCAAGTTCATCTTCAAATCAGGAAGGAGTTTTCCTCCTCAGAGGGACTTAAAGCAACAGTGGCAAGACTCCAAAGGGTTGTTTCTGGCCAATAGAAGATGCAAATGTGTATATTTGACATCAATTTTCTAATATAATCAATGTAGAAGAGGGTATATGCCCAGAAGACCTGCCCAGGTTTCCTTCCCTTATCTGTTCCCAGAGATTTCTAGTCAAACTCCAAACAGCCTCTCTTCAATTCTCTCCCTCCCCCTCCCTCTCCTGATGACTCCTTTCTTTCTTTCTTTCTTTCTTTCTTTCTTTCTTTCTTTCTTTC